CCTTACCGGCCCATTTTGCAAACACACATCGCATGAGTACAGAAGATGTGCTCAATCACGAATTTCGGTAACGCTGTTTTGAAATACTTACAAGCCGACCTTTTCAACCCTTTCCATTAGGAGAAACCTGTGTATATATATATATCTAATTGCATACTCGTGGCACTTATCCAATCTCTATATTCAACCTTCAAGCCTCAAACACAAAACACCCTTCTGGCTCCTAATCGCTAGACAAGCCCCCCAGAGTCGCGACCGTCGCGCAACTGAACACTAGACCTCAAACTGTGCTGGGGAATCCTGAATATCATCTATAAGCTAAGGCATAGGCATAGTCCCTACATGAGGAGTCCACAAAAGCCCCTTAGAAGAAAAAATGCCCCTGAAACCTAAACGTCCCTAAATAAGGGCTCCATAATTACAGAACCCTATAAATTCCCTTGTAAAGCTCTACTTCTCCAGATTTCCCCAGTATCCTAGGGGAGCTAGAGGCAAACCTTTGGAATTATATAAGGATTATAGCTTGTAATACCCAAAAAAGGGCAAAAAGCTACTGTACTAGGTCCAATCATGCAGGCGACCTTCACGACATGCTATTTATCCTACATCCACATTCTGGTAGATTCCATTTTAAAATGCACCAGAATGCCCCTAGACCCTAAACTTCCCCAAATAAGGATTCCATAATTTAAAACACCCTGTAAGTAAAAATGAGCTAGAGTTCCCTGATCAAACCGGAGTATCTCAGGTGCAGCCCTCCTTTGAACCGGGCCTGGCGAGCATCACGCGCACGGCGGCCTCTACATTCGCGGGGTTGGGGGGTTTTGGGCGGTTTTGGGGATTACTTTGAGGTTTAGGGCTTAGGGGATTGTATAGAGGTTTAAGGTTTATATCGGTGTTCAATGTTTTGGTGGGTTTAGGGGTTTGGGTGGTTTAGGTTTTCTTTGGTGATTGTGCGCGTTTTAGCTGGTTTTGGTGGTTTAGGGTTTAGGATGTGCCCACAGAGGTGCATCACGGAAAGGGCCTAGGCTCACGGTGTACAGGGTTTGGAGGATTCAAGGCGAAGATCGCTGTAAGGCTTTGGAAGCTGTCAGGGATGACGTTCATCCCTGACCCAGACCGTGACATTGCTTTGGACATGGGAACTTCGAAAATGAGGACTCTAAACAATCCCTAAACCCTAAACCCTATAAGGAGCCCTTATCTAGGCTCCCAGCTCCACATTCAAAAACCTTTAGGGTTTAAGGTTTAGGGCTTAGGGCCTTGGCCCTCTCCTACTTTTGAGGTCTACCTGTCGACTTCGAGAGCCCTATTTGGAGCTTTTGCAAGGACTCCCGCGAACGACTGCGTCGTTTAGGCTGGGTTCGGGGCTCGAGGGTGGTAGATTTGGGGGTTTCCAAAATAGGGGACCCTAATATAGTATAAGGAGCCCAAAATAAGGTACCCCCTAATTTTCGAAAACTCATATTTGAGTTCGGATGTTAAGGGGTGCGCGCTTCCTCACCACTGTCCCAAGGGCATCTTACCCTACGCATGAATCCCTGCAGCGACGATGGAAAGACGTATTTTGCAATCCTTGTTAGGAGGTTGACGTGAACATGTTTTTTCTGCAAATACAGTGGTAATTACCTTGCTCAGGGGCCCTTGAAATACGTATCTTACTGTCTAGAGCTCTAGACTGGGGTCCCTCATTTTCTTAAAGTCATCAAAGCCGTGCATATCTGAGCCGGGCAACCTGAGGCAACCTCAAAACCCTTTGCCCCTTGACCCTGCAACATACATAGGGTTTAGGGTTTAGGGCTTAGGGTTTAGGGACATACATGATCTTTGAATGCATCTGTGCACTTTAACTTGCCCTCAAGACCGAAACCGCACACCCCAAACCTTGAACCCATGTACCCCACATCTTAACCCCTGGCCTGCACGCGCAACACCGCTGTTTGCGCCCTCTCCTGTGCCACCTGAATGGGACGGCAAGGGCATGCGCTGCAAACAGCAACTACATCAACGAACACACAAGGATAGCCAGCCAGCAACCGGCATTTCCCCTCACAAGCACAAGATTTCAGTATGGACATCCCGCTGCGATGTCGAGGACGAGAGGATTGATAAATAGCTTTCTAAGGCTTGGAATCCTCCGGTGGACATAGCTGGCTTGAAATGGGCATCAAGTTCAGGGGCCTGGGTTCCATGGTTCATGCGATGCTCTCTTGCTGAGTGCTCAACTTAGTACCCCGTTTCAAAGACGGGTGCGCTTCTTCCCATGGTTTTCTTTTGAGAAGCAGTCCCCCCAGGAAAAGAAAGGGCACAGGGGAAGTCCTGGAGACCTAGTCGTAATTTATCAGGATGATCTGCGAAACGCTTCAGTGAGCTGTTGCCCGGGCCTTCTGCCGGCGTTCAAGCTCCGCAGCGTTGACCACGGGATCCTCAATAGCACGGACACTCTGGGGGGCAAAGCATGCTAACAATCTGGGTCTCAGTGTCTGTGACACCTCTGCCACTCGGAACAGGGATCATCATGGTGTCCCGGTTGAACGGAAGCGTTTTGCGAAAGTACTTGACTTATGCAATCGCCTGAAGGTCTGAGCATACCGAGACTCTGTTCTCATGACTGCACTTCCATGCTCGTTCAAGTCTTTCTCAAAACCTTCCAACCTACACGGTACCGGCATCAAGTAACGGCTTTAAGTTTTTGGGGTTCGGTGTTTAGGACGACGTGAAATTCAAAGCTGTGATTCCCTGCAAGACGCCACTTTTGACAGCACATGACGCATTTACGTGGACCCTGCTGTACAGGGTATAACATTTACGGTATAGCATAGTGTATGATATAGTATAACATAATATAATAAGAGAAAGTATAACGAATATAATATACATAGTAAAAAAGTATAATTGACGTGTTTCAGGGCAACGACAAGCTTCTATCCCTAACGGTACGCAGAACTCGCCTCTTTGAAATCTGTTGCCCAACAAGAGCTCACACAGAGAGTGGCCAACTCTTGAGAAGCCTTCACAAAGAATCGGAACGACAATAACTCCGAATTCAGGGCTACTGCAGACCAGCACGACATAATCGAAATCAGGTTGAGGCTGCGGCTGTAGCTCGTGGGGCCAAGGCGAGCAATGGAAGCTTCTCTTTCATCATGTTCACAAACCTGGCAAAAGGAAACCCTAAACCCTGAACCCTAACTCCTAAACCCAACACCCAAAACCCTAAACCCAAAGCCCTAAACCCAAAGCCTGCCCAGGTCTGCCCCTGAACCCCGTTTCCCCAAACCGTGGTCTCAGGGCTGAGCTTCGAGCCCAGCGCTTCCCGTCTTGAAAGCCGAGACGCACATATATGAGGCTTCTGATCTATACGATAGTATGCTACGAGGCTATATATCATCATATACTACAAATACCATGGTGATTATACTGCAACGCAAGCCTAGGGATGCTACTGGCCGCTTGCATGATCGCATGGGGCTTGTTTAGCCGTCGGAGCTCACAGTCTGGCGCCTGATTCTGGTGTAGAGGCTGTGGTACGTCGTGTGACGTGGGTCGTCGAACAAACTCTCCTCCGTCTTCCGGTTGAAATAGAACCTCGCAAGGGGATCTCCGATCAGACCCTGCTTTCTTGGAGGCAAGTAACGAAGATGGCCAAACCGTCATAGATAGATAGATAGATAGATAGATAGATCATCGATAGATAGATAGAGAGGGAGAGAGAGAGAGAGAGATATATATATATAGCTACATCGTTCGTTCTGGTTGATGCTTGTGCCCAAAGGCCACGTTTGAACTGAGCATCGCATTTTCGATTCCTTCGAGAGGCTTGATATTGGCGAGGTGCTGCCAGGCAGTAAAGACCTGCTTTCCCATGGTTCCAGCAGTGGATACTTGGAGGTTCATGGGTAGTTGTCAAGTAGGGTTACAAGTCCACTAACATGGGTTATAAAATATAGTTATCCTACTTCTATAACCCTACTTATAACTACTCCTAAACCCTAAACCCTTCTAGAAGCCTTAGAGGAACCCTATAGAAGTAGGCTTGCAAAGAAAGGTCGCAGAAGGCTCAGGTGAAGACTTCTGGCCGGAATCGTCGTAGAGCTCCATCCAATTTGCCCTTAGAGGGGGGTTTTAGGGTTTGAGGGTTTCAGGGTTTTACGGTTTGAAGGGTTTTAGGGTCCATCCAATTTGCCCTTAGAGGGACGAGTCTTCTTGCGACCTATGTGGGGCCAGGGTCCCTCCTCCAAAAGCTCTAAGGTTTAGGGGTTTTAGGGGTTTTAGGGGCTTTAGGAGGTTTAGGGCTCTAGAGTTTCAGGGTTTAGGGTTTTAGGGTTTAAGATTTTAGGGTTTAGGGTTTGAGGGTTTGAGGGTTTTAGGGATTCAGGGTTTTAGGGTTTAGGAAATGGATCAAACTCTATGACTTTCAGACAACCTTGAAGGTCTCTCGTATTTCGGGGTCAAGACCAGTACAAGGTGCGACGTAGGAGGTTGGCCTTTGCGAGGGGTCTGCCTGTACATGAACTTAGGGGCTGAGCACCCTGGCCCAAAAAAGTTAACCTTTTAAACTATAGCAGGATTATAAAGCCCTAAAAGGTTAAAGCTTACCTACTCAGCCCCGTAGTTAGTCAAAAAGCCAAAAGTGATCTCTCAGTACTTCGAGCACTTCAATATGGGCTGTACAACAAATCCTGGGAGGGTTTGGGGTTACCTCGTTACATTTCCCGAGGACAGGACAGATTGGCGCGGATTTTCTCCTCCATTTCGGCCTTCCAGCTGTGTGGCTGTAGGAGTATGTGTGTGTACTTTTGAATGGGTGTGTTTTGTGCTTTTTCTTATCAGGGTTTCTTAACATAAGGGGGTTCCGTTCTGAGGGCTTCATCGGGCTATCGTCGAGGTTTCTGACATGAAAGTCCCTTCCTAGGTTTTGCAAGGGCTTTTAGAATTAAGGGGACATGTTCAGGGGTCCTTACAGTAAAAACCCGATTCTTCAGGGTTTGCATTATGATCCCCGGGTTTTCGCAGGCCTCACCTTGCTCTACGGCAATCCATCCCCGACTGTGCCGCCCAACCCGGCGCGACTTTGCTTCCAGCGACAAGGTACAAACCCTAAACCCAAAACCCTAAACCCTGAACCCTAAACATTAAAACCCTAAACATTAAAAC